ATTGTGATGGTAACTTTGATTTTGTTGTTTGGGTTTTTTTTTTAATAGACAGCATTTTACTTTTGCACTCCCCTGTTGCTTGCATGCTGCATCTTATATTCCTTTTATATCCATTAGAATGGAAATAATTCATTAAAATTAAAAAAGTGGGCCAAAGCCTCAGCTGGTGTAGATTGCTAKAGCCCTGTGGATGCCAGCTCGCTCCAGCTGAGATCTGGCCTTACGTAACCTCATTTTCAGGGTGCATTCAGGCAGCCTCCATTTCAAGCTTTCCAGTCGAGTGGTTACACACGTCCTCATTTCCTCCCTTCCAAGGAAGAGGCTTTTGATCTGCAAACGCCCTGTGCTCACCACAAAGAGGCATAAGGACAATAGCCCTGTCCAAGAAATAGGAGCAGTGCYGGTGGATGAGATAGCAGGAGAGAATTGCCAGCTGAAGAACTCTCTCTGTCCCACTTTTCCTCTGGATGGAAGTTGATGCCACAGGTTGGTGAGGGAGGTGGCATCCCTCAATATGGTGCATGGGTAAGACCACTGTCTAGTCATGTCAAGGGAAAGGACAGCAGTCTGGAGAGCTCTGAAGGAGGCTAAGGAGATGATGGGGCTCTTCTACCCCAGCAGGAGGGAAAGCTCCTGGGGACAGGCTGCAAACCAGGCTGGTCTTCCTTACAGATGCAAAGACTCAGGCAAGGACTTGGGTTCCTGCCCATTCTTGTATGGATTATCCCTACTCTTAAGCAGTCTTGGGGAAGGATCTCCCTCTGGTCCCAGTAAATCCTGCTGAGCCAAAGGCTGCAGCCTACTCAACAGAGTTTACATCTTGCCTCCCTAGAGGTCTGTTCCTTACTTCAGATGCTGAACAAGCTCTCCTGTTTTTCAAGCCAGGATTTGGTTCTCTGGCAGCTGCAATCAACTTTTTTTACAGCAGTGGGCTTGGTTGTTCTTGGCCATATAAAGGTTCCCAAGCTTAGATTTTGGGAGTGATGAGAGTGCATCAAGTCTTTCCATCTTTCTACAAATGTCTATTAGTAAATTGGACAGTTTAAAAGCCTTTACCTTCTTCATGCTAGTAAATYATTACTGAGATTAGTGAGTTTGGCCAAGGCTGACCATCGCTCTCCCAAATGGTTCCAGRGCATGGTTCACAGCTGAGCGAGGCCACGGACCTTTCCCAATATAGGGTGTGAAGGCACATACCTGTTTTTGGAGGATGACAGTTTAAAACTGTGATTAGTTAGGGCCCGTTGGCCTCAGGGGAAGAGAAATTCCCCATGCCATTCATTTAATATGATAGGAATAGCCAGGSATTCCTGACCTTGGGCAGCTTTTGGTTGTGTGGAGCAGGTATCAGTGCTGTACTTCCCACAAAACACAGCCCAGAGGCATCAGTTCCTGTGCTGAGGTGCTTTACCGTGCTCCTGAAGCCCTTATATATATCAGCATCCTCTTTGTTTCAAGCCAGTCTGTTGCCTAAGGCATCTTCCTACGCTTTCTGCTGGTGGTATTCAGAGCCACCTCTAAAAACCGAATGGTGCCAAGGCACCAGCACAATCCTGCAAGAGTCCACACTGCTAAATTATCAGTGAAGTCCCCAGCAGTTTTGGCCAAGGCCAACCAGAATGGACATACTCATCCTCTTGGAGCAGAAAGAGATGTACCCACATGGAGGTGACTCTTGCCAGCTGGCCAAGGACAACGGCTGGTCATTGACCTGTTCTATTTAACAGTATGGACAGAGCCTTTGACTCCATCATTTCCATGGATGTTTCTGCTGAGGCCCTCACAGAGACAGCTAAGAGTGCTTGGATTTCCACATGAACCATCACTTTCTGCAGCACTTAATCTTTTCTTCTTCCCTTCCCTTCCCTTCCCTTCCCTTCCCTTCCCTTCCCTTCCCTTCCCTTCCCTTCCCTTCCCTTCCCTTCCCTTCC